CAAGATCTCACCCCCGTGGGGTCAAAATGATCACAAGAACGGTGAGCAAAAATCCCAGGACCACACGGGGGGACCTAGTCCCATGCAGAGAGCTGGGACCAACGTAACAAAGGCTACCATCAGTAACACACTACGCCGCCAGGGACTCAGATCCTGCAGTGCCAGACGTGTCCCCCTGCTTAAGCCAGTACATGTTTGGGCCCATCTGAAGTTTGCTAGAGAGCATTTGGATGATCCAGAAGAGGATTGGGAGAATGTCATATGGTCAGATGAAACCAAAATAGAACTGTTTGGTAAAAACACAACTCGTGGTGTTTGGAGGAGAGAGAATGCTGAGTTGCATCCAAAGAACACCATACCTACTGTGAAGCATGGGGGTGGCAACATTATGCTTTCGGGCTGTTTCTCCGCAAAGGGACCAGGACGACTGATCCATGTACAGGACAGAATGAATGGGGCCATGTATCGTGAGATTTTGAGTGCAATCCTCCTTTTATCAGCAAGGGCATTGAAGATGAAACGTGGCTGGGTCTTCCAACATGACATTGATCCCAAACATACCGCCCGAGCAATGAAGGAGTGGCTTCGTAAGAAGTATTTCAAGGTCTTGGAGTGGCCTAGCCAGTCTCCAGATCTCAACCCCATAGAAAACCTTTGGAGGGAGTTGAAACTCCGTGTTGCCAGCGACAGCTCCAAAACATCACTGCTCTAGAGGAGATCTGCATGGAGGAATGGGCCAACATACCAGCAACAGTGTGTGCCAACCTTGTGAAGACTTACAGGAAACCTTTGACCTCTGTCATTGCCAACAAAGGATATATAACAACGTATTGAGATGAACTTTTGATATTGACCAAATACTTATTTTCCACCATAATTTGCAAATAAATTCTTTCCAAATCAGCCAATGTGATTGTCTGGATTTTTTTTCTCATTTTATCTCTCATAGTTGAGGTCTACCTATGATGCCAATTACAGGCCTCTCTCATCACTTTTTAAGTGGGAGAACTGACTAAATACTTTTTTGCCCCACTGTAGCCATTTTTACATAGTTACATTGGTCTAGCTTAGACCAGTGTAAGTATGTACAGTATTTGCCATACTTGGTCAATCCCTGTGGAAACTGAAAATCACTGTAGTAGGCACCTCTACTCCAGTGACTGGCTTCTAGGCCCTCTGCTGAGCAGCTACCCTGCTGCATACTGAACACAGGAGGTTGCCCACTTTCCACAGGTTCTATTCTCAATGAATGCAAAGTGTTCTCTGATTGGAGGAGGTGGAGATCGTGACATAATCACTCCACCTTTCCACTTCATCCAACCAGAGAATGCTTTTCATTAATTGAGAAACTTCAACATGTTCCTGAATGATGGCTGGAAGCTAATAGAGATCACTGGAATAGAGGTGCCTACTTCGGTAATTTCAAACCTCCATGGGGTTCCCACAGTTATGACACATACATACTTACATTGGTCCGCGCAGGGCCAGTGTAACTAAGTAACAATTGCCATACATAAGCTACATCTTTAATGGCCAAGTATACCTTTTATATAAATTGCCCCATGCAGTCAAAAATCTCTTTAGTTGTCCTCAAAGAAGGCGGCTCAGTGGTCATTTTGTTGTAGCTCATGTCTTGGAAATAAGCCAGAAAGTAGGAATGTAAACATTGCAAATATTTCAGCCAGGCCTCATGGTTGACAGAAAAGGCATACAGGTATGGTATTTGCAAAAAAAAATATTTTTTACAAGTGGCAGCGTGTATTTTAAACTACTAGAACTCCTTTTCTACATGGGCCAGTTTAGGAAAAAGGGGAACTTTGCTTTAAAAGAAAGTTTTGGCTTGAGATACACTTTTTAAGAGAGTGATAGTGAGCATACAAACAATGACAGCTTCTTATTTCCTGAATATGTTTTCCAGCACAGTGAATTGCTTCCCTTCAGTTCCATAATTATAACCATCCTGTGAGGGAAAAATACAAGTTTGAAAGAAAAAATAAGCCTGTCCCGTCACCTGCTCTTCAAGAACTAAGATGTCTGGAGAATCCTCTTTATCCGGAACGCTTCTAGGAGGATCATATTATTATTATTATTATACAGGATTTATATAGCGCCAACAGTTTGCTCAGCACTTTACAATATAAAGGGAGACAATACAGCAACAATACAGTTCAATACAAGGGCCCTGCTCCTTGGAGCTTACAATCTAAGAGATACTTGATCTCTTGCCGACCAATATGGATTCTTCTTCTGGCCCATACATGCATATGGCCATATGTGCAGGACATAGCAGTGACGTAAGGGTAAAGAACCACATTGCATTGTGGTGAACCAGAAATTTGATACTCCCAGAAGTGTGTCGGATTAAAAGATAAGTTCACAGCTAGCGGGGGATCTTCTCCTTTGCGGCTGCTGCTGTTGGCTTGTAGTTCTTAATGTGCTACCAGTGTGCTGTTGAGCTCTCTATGTAATTCATTGAGCTTCCTGTCCTTTTGTAGCTGCCTGCCTGTATTGGAGGTACGGGCAGACAGCTACACCGACAGTCTGCAGGACTGTCTAATTACACCCACAATCTGCTGATCCATGGTGCAATGCTTTACAGGCTCCTAGCAAAAAAAATAATAAATGCATATTTTTTTTTACCTGTAATATTGCATTTATTATTTTTTTTGTAAAGGTTAACTTTTCCTTTAAAATAATTCTCCAGGCACTGTAGTTCTTAAAAAGAGCAAGAATAAATGGCACAGAAAGCAGGAGAGGTAAGTATAGTACTTCTTCTTATCTTTTTTTTTCCCAATTTTTTTTTTTTTTTTTTGCAGCATGGGATCTTGCCCATGCACAGACCATTGCGTGTGTGCAGAAATGGGACGTAGGGTATAAAAATTGTGTAAAGAATGGGGCAGTCTTGACAGACATAGAAGTCACACAATTTGTGCCCTGATAGATTGTACATCCGTTTATCTATGGCTGAAGTAAGACTAACCCTAGAGAGAGTTAATGTAAGGTCATTCTGCAAAAAAATCTTTCTTACAACAGATCTCTCCATAAACATGCTTGGTAGTCCAGCTCCTTCCCCATTCTCCACAAGCTGTCTTTGGGTAAAAAAATGGATTGAATTGCTTTCCCTGCTGCATAAATATGTTTATTGAAAAATTATTTGGCAGTTGCAATTTCCAATGACCACCAATGGATAGCCTAATGCCAGGTGTATAGTTGAGCAGATGTCTACTAATTTAACCACTTTAAACCAGTATTGGATTATAGAAATTACCAAAAGGGTCAAGTCAACCTAGAACCAGCAGTTACAATTACTTTATGGTTTCAACTGACATCATTGATGGCGGGGGTTTGCCAGCATTGAAGCATATCTAAAAGCAAGCACAAAACATTTTTATATTACAGTTTACCACTCATATGTAGTAGCTACCAGGGGCGGACTGACCATTTGGAAACTCGGGCACTGCCCGAGGGCCCGGGGTCAGTAGGGGGCCCCATGAGATGCCCCAGTACCTTTTTTATAGGTTTTTTTGAGTTTGGCCAAGGACACAGGGGCCCCATGATCCCCTATTGCCCGGGGGCCCCATGAGTTGTCAGTCCGCCCCTGGTAGCTACTTAGGTTTTTTTTTTTTTTTCAAAGTCTTTTCTTTTATTTTCATGTGGTAATTCTGCCAGTAACATACTTACTGTCCTAAGGTGACAACGCTCTCTCACCATACTGTATCTGTGGAGGAGAAGCGCTGTCACCCTGGGAATGGACTACAATAATCTTCCACTCTCCTCTTCTCTACAGCACAGAGCCGAGGGGATTCGGTAGTACTTAGACATCTGGGAACAATGTACTGATAAGAATACAGCACAAGCAGTTATCAGCTCACAAGATTTCTGGCAGGATCAAGTGGAATTTGTTTGCACTTATCCAACAGATTTAAAAAAATGCAATAATATATTTTACAGACCAAATGGGAACAAACAAGAGAAGTTTATTGTTTGGGTTTACATACCCTTAAGGCCTGTGTACACTGATCTTTGGGTTTCCCAACTGCCCTGCTTACGTAAAGCATTTGTGAAAGATCTGAAACGCAATGTTGGAATTTTGAATTGGATGGAAAGGAGAGGTGTACACATTTTATTGGGAAAACTCAGAATGTCACATTTGTACTTAAACATGCTTTCATTCCTCCTTACTTTCAAGTGTTTATGATGCATTTATCATGTGTTTACTGCACACTGACAATGTGGTCCTGTTGGGGTAATCTATTTTGACTTGAAAGTTCCTAAAAACATGCTCTGAAAGGAGTGCCTGCTCCAGTCCAGTACCCCCTTGAAAAATATTTTTGTAAGCATTTAAACACCCTACTTGACATGGGATGGAAAGGTAATTGGCAGTTCAGATTTTCAGGAAATTCTTAACCTTCTAAGCAGGAAAGTCCTGAATAGTTTTACTTTAATGGCCTTTTAAGTGCCAGTAATAACAAAGAAAGACCTACTGCTGTTGTTTCACATGTCTGACCCTTATGGCTTTGAGATGACAGTTAAAGCATCAGTGTTAATTGCGTTACCTGTATTTAAGTGTATCTAAACCCAAACAAACAAAATATGTTGTTGCTTTTCTATATGTTCTGCTTTCAATTACATAATTCCAGGAAGGTGTATCCACTGACACTTCCGTCCCTACCAGGGTGACACAGTCTAAAGTAGAATTAAGGGTAAAACTTTTCTGGATAAAACTGGCTGGCCATACACTATACAATTTTCTGTCCAATCTTTGCCCAATTTCCGTTAGATTTACCTTCAACTATGTAGTGCATGAGCCTTCCTAATTGGATACAATTGAAAGTGTTGTTAGGTTTGACCTCCATATGATATGGTTTTTGGTAAATGTAAACCAAAAATCTCAAGAAAATTGTATAATGTATGGCCAGCCTAAGGGAGGGTTATAACCCCTGTCAGTTTTTTTGCTGTTTCTCTTTAGGGATATTTGCCTTCACTTCTTGTCCCTTAGATAAAACAGGAAGTGAGGAAATTCCTGGTTGTCACCGGGGGTCACCAAAATCAGTGTCTCCATTGGAAGATTTTCACTCTATTCCTGTTCTGGTGACAATCCAAAATTTTGAAAATTTTTTTTTCACTTTCACTCTTTTTGATAACAATCACCAGGACAAATAGAGAGGGTGAATCTACCTAAAGGGGGAAACATACAGCAACAACAACTTGACAGGTGTTCTAATCCCTCTCCACTTTATCCCAAACAAGAGAAATGCATAGATTCCTCGATTCACGCTATGCAGCTACGGTACATCTCCTACTGAGTCTTTTGTACTCGTAGGCACTCGTAGCTGTCAAGAGTACCTGAAGAGTGACTGCAGCTGATCAGCCAACCTTTTTCTGTCCGTCTCCTTTGATTTCCCAGTTGAAGTTTGCTGGTGTTGGCAGGACCCCTGACCAGCTTTACTTATCTGCAGCATTGTGATCGTAGCCATTTCTGAGTTGGGGTAAAAGCAGCCATACCAATGCATAGTCCGCTGGCACAACCTGCTGTAGTCACCACAGCAAAACTTTAAAGAAATTATGGATTTGTGTTCTGAAACTTTAAGTGGATGTAAATCCCACACATTAAATACAAGGCATATCTCTATAGTTTGTACTTGTCTCAATTAAGAGCACTAGGTGTGATTTCTGTCTGCTGCTTTGTTCCTCTGCTATCTTCTTGAATCACTTCTGACATGTTTTCCTGACACCAAGAGAAAAATGGTGACCAGGGAAGGAACTCCAGCATATTGACAGCCTCAGCTCTGTTCCTGTGTGAAGGAAGTGGAGGGTGTCTCTTCCCTTCAGTCAGCTCTCACTGAGCTCTGCAGAGTGTAACTTCAGTTCTCTGCCCCCTGTTTTCTGAAAGCTCAGACAAGTTTTATAAATTCTGGACTTTGAACGGGTATAGAGAAGAGAAAACAGCAGATAAATAGGTAGAACTTGTGTATGAGGATTTGTTTATTCTTTGTGTATTACCTGAGGCCAATCATGTCCCTGGATATACAGTTGCAAGAAAAAGTATGTGAACCCCTTGGGATTACGTGGAGTTTTGCATGAATTGGGCATAAAATGTGCTCTGAACGTCATCTAAGTCACAACAATAGAAGAACACAGTCTGCTGAACATAATACTACACAAACATTAGATGTTGCCATGGTTTAATTGCACATAACATGTAAACATTCACAGTGCAGGGAGGAAAAAGTATGTGAGGCCGTAGCTTAATGACTTCTCCCAGAGCTAATTGGAGCCAGGAGTGAGCCAGCCTTGACTCCAATCAGTGTGATGATATTGGATGTGTTGCTGACAGCTGTCCTGCCCTTAAAAAACACACACCTGTTTTGGGTTTACTGGTTTCAAGAAGCATTGTCTGATGTGAACCATGCCTCGCAGAAAAGAGCTCTCAGAAGACCTACGATCAAGAATTGTTGACTTGCATGAAGCTGGAAAGGGTTACAAAAGTATTTCCAAAAGCCTTGAGGTTCATGTGTCCATGGTAAGACAGACTGTCTACAAATGGAGAAAGTTTAGCACTGTTGCTACTCTCCCTGGGCGTGGTCGTCCTGTAAACATGACTGCAAGAACACAGCGCAGAATGCTGCATGAGGTAAAGAAGAATCCCAGAGTGTCAGCTAAAGACCTACAGAAATCTCTGGCACATGCTAACATTTTTGTTGACACATCTACAATAAGGAAAACATTAAACAAGAATGGAGTACATGGGAGGACACCACGGAGGAAGCCGTTGCTGTCCAAAAAGAATATTGCAGCACGTTTGAAGTTTGCAAAAGAGCACCTGGATGTTCCACAGCACTACTGGCAAAATATACTGTGGACAGATGAAACCAAGATTGAGTTGTTTGGGAAGAACACACAACACTATGTGTGGAGAAAAAAAGGCACAGCACACCAACATCAAAACCTCATCCCCACTGTAAAACATGGCGGAGGGAGCATCATGGTTTGGGGCTGCTTTGTTGCCTCAGGGCCTGGACGGATTGTTGTCATTGATGGGAAAATGAATTCCAGAGTTTATCAAGACATTTTGCAGGAAAACGTACGACCATCTGTCCGCCAACTGAAGCTCCGCAGAGGATGGGTGATGCAACAGGACAATGACCCAAAGCATACAAGTAATTCAACAAAACAATGGCGGCAACAGCACAGAATATGCCTTCTGGAGTGGCCCAGTCAGAGTCCTGACCTCAACCCGATTGAAATGCTGTGGCATGACCTTAAGAGAGCGGTTTATACCAGACATCCCAAGAATATTACTACACTGAAACAGTTTTGTGAAGAGGAGTGGTCCAAAATTACTCCAGATCGTTGTGCAGGTCTGATCTGCAACTACAGGAAATGTTTGGTTGAGGTTATTGCTGCCAAAGGAGGGTCAACCAGTTATTAAGTCCAAAGGTTCACATACTTTTTCCTCCCTGCACTGTGAATGTTTACATGTTATGTGCAATTAAACCATGGCAACATCTAATGTTTGTGTAGTATTATGTTCAGCAGACTGTGTTCTTCTATTGTTGTGACTTAGATGACGTTCAGAGCACATTTTATGCCCAATTCATGCAAAACTCCACGTAATCCCAAGGGGTTCACATACTTTTTCTTGCAACTGTAGGTAAGGTTTTACCTATCATGGATTGTTAGATCAATTCCTTTTGAGGTTCCCTTTGGTATGTAGGTCTCGATGGGAGAGAGAGTTAGGTCTTATTGCTAATGATAACTGGGAGGATATTTTACAGTCTCTTCACAGCGTTTCCTTATCTATCTCCCATTGAGTTATACAGGTATTTATCCTTCATAGGGTTTATAGAACTCCTGAGTTCTTATTTAAAATCTGTCTGAGCGACGATTCTTGTGTCAAACGCGGACATATAATTGGGTCTCTTATCCATTTATTATGGCGTTGTCCCAAATTGAGAAGGTATTGGGCTGAAGCGGTAGGGACCCTTAATGGAATTTTAGGGATTAACCTGTTGGTTGACCCTTTTAACTGTTTAGTTGGCCATGTAGATTTATCTATAACTGATCAGAATCTACGGCTTACCAATTTGAGAGTGTTATTTATAGCCCCCAGATTAATTGTACTCAAGTGGAACTCTCCTCGGCCCCCTTCTCTCTCTGAATGGATAACAGAGCTTAGTAAATATATTCTTTATGAAAAACATACCTATTATTTTAGGAACTCCATGTGGAAATTTGAAGCAATATGGTCTAAATGGATAGAGTGTATGTATCCTGACTTTTTATTTATAGTGTTTATATGTTGATTGCTCTTTTTTCCCCTTTTGGGCTATCAAGCCATCCCCCTTCCTTCCCTCCCTAACCCCCCCCCCCCCCCCCCTCAGGGTTTTTGATTTTTCTTTTTTGATTGTTTCTTCCGTGCTGTGAGGCGGTTTTTTTGTTGTTTTTGTATTTAAGTTTGTAAAATGTGGAAAAACAAATCTTATAAACATACATCTGGGAAAAAAAACACGGTATACAACCACTGTAAGCAGTAGTACACTGCAGGTAAAAAAAAATTCCCCTGCAAGGTAATGTCATAATGTGCTAGTATGCGCCTCATACTAACACATTATGAAGGACTTACCTTGAAACGAAGCCCTCTAGTGGTGCGCTGTCACCACTGCAGAGGCTTCCATGTTCACCTGGTCTTCCTTCCAGGTTTGCGAGCTCTGGCTGTCTGACTGGTCGAGCCACGATGATGTCACTCGCGAATGTGAGCGGGAGTCCTGGGCCACAGCACAGTGCTCTGAAGAAACGCATATGCCGGTTATCAAAAAGAACTATTATCTCCTAAATGGAGATATTCATTTTACCTACAGGTAAGCTTTACTATAACCTTACCTGTAGATAAAAGTGCTAAAGAAGAGTTTACTACCACTTTAAGAGTTGCCATTCATACATATTTCCCAAGGACAATCCCTGTGTTGAGGAATCTGTCCTCAGAAAATGGTTTCCCTGGTTTGTCTCTGGAAGCTGGGCACCTTAACGTTTGCATTGTGCAGGCTTCAACTCCACACACTGCTCAAGTGGCAATTCAAATATGGTGCCGCCAGAGCGCGCCCTGTGCATGCGTGGTGATTCATAATGCTGTGAATGTGCAGACTAGTCCATCCATGTCATTTGGGATTGACACTTGCAGTGTGATGAGTTTGGGGCTTACTTACTGAAAATGTTATACTACAGTACCCGACTCCCAGGGACAGTTCTAAGCCCTGTGGATCACTGAGACTAACCACAATCTGTAAGTACCTGCTAACCTGATCCCTGAACTCCTACGCCTGACCTCTGTACTCTATGATTTACCTCTTCGTACTAGGGTCGTTGGTTCGAATCCCAGCCATGGCAGCACCTGCCTGGAGTTGGCATGTTCTCCCTGTGCCTGCGTGGATTTCCTCCGGGTACTCTGGTTTCCTCCCACACTCCAAAGACATGTTGGTAGGTTAATTGAATCCTGTCTAAATTGGCCCTAGTATGTATATATGTGGGTTAGGGACTTTAGATTGTACGCCCCTTGAGGGATAGGGACCGATGTGAATGTACAATATATATATATGTAAAGCCCTGCGTAAATTGACAGCCCTAAATAAGTACCTGAAATAAATAAATAATCCTTGTTCACTGTTACTGCAATTTGACCACATCCACAATTTGTAGTGGAGCACCACTCATTTTTCTCCTAATGCCTAGTACACACAATCAGAAAATTGGATGAAAAAAAAAAAAAATCGCTTTTGGAGGGATTGTACGATAATCTGATCATTAGTACACAGCTTTTGAGAGCCGATCATGACAGTTCATGCAAATATATCTGAAGGGACAGATACAAAAATGTTTTTCGTACGTTAACAGTGAATGATTTTCATTTAATCAGTACAGTATTCGGCCAAAAAAAGTTTAGAGACTGAGACCACACATGATCAGAAGCAAAAGAATACATTACAATACACTGCAACATATTACGTCAATTCTGAGATTGTATTCTGCCATAGAAGAATTTTCTTAACCTCTTCATTTTTGATATTTGACTAGCATGCAAAAAAAATGGCCGACTGTTCCTCTGATATTTTTATTGTGTGTGTACAGGGTATTATGACCAATTGTTTCAGGGCAAGTTAAAAAACAGACCCATGGTTTTGTCAGTGTCAGTAGGATGTCCTTGGATTTCATTTTGAAAATTTGGGAACCTTACAGAAACTGTCCCGGCTTACGTCTATGTTCATAGAGAGAAAATGTTGCCAACACACTTGACTAAAAGGGTTCATACTTAGCTATCCCAATGCCCTCATCGCCAGTCTTTGCCCCGTTGCAAAGCTACAGTGGTTGAAAACCCTTCAGTATTCGACCCTCCTGTAAAGGTCGGTGCCGGGTTCCCCTCTGTACACTATGGCTGCTCTTACCAACTCTGAAGTCATAACAGGTCAATGAAATAGAAAAAAAATCTTTCAATGGGGACACCTGTTTCTCTGACATCTGTCAGAACTGGAATTTGATATTTTTGGGGAGTTTTCCCATTTCTGTTGCCTTTCCTGGACAGTAACTGGGAAACATCTCATTGATAAGCACAAAGGGAGCAATAAAAACCTGATGCAAAACTTAGGTTTAAGTTCCATTTAAGACTACATATTATGTCTGTGGGTAGCCTCAGGATTTCATTAATGTTTTAGTGTTAAGTTTTGAGTTAACCAGAAAGTAGTTTAGTGCGTCACTTTTGGTCATGCATTGTGGTGTCTTTTGCAGGATCTTTCATGTGCTAAGATGCTTGTATTTAGAAGTAATCCCCAACTCCCACGCCCATGGTTCACATATCCCTGTGAAAAGGTCAAATTACGTTTCCTTTCAATGATCTATTAGGAAAGTGGGCCACAGGGCATGTAGATAGAGGTGGGAGGAACTGATTAGCCCCCAGCTAGCAAAGGAAAACCTGAAACCTTTCACATTGATTGGTGTTACTTACAAAGACCTTGTCAGTTGTCACCATATCTTTCATTTCAACAACAATCTTCCCATAAGATGATATATGTGCATTTAGCATACTTTATGCATGTTGTATACCTGTAAAAGCTTCTCTTGTATATACATCCCAATACCCTGAGACTGCTACTGGTTGCTGCCATTTAAATGTTACGTCAGAGGCCCCGGGCTCAGAGTTGTCACTCAGATAACACTGTACTATTTTCTTTCGCTCCTCTCCAAGCAACTACTTAAAAGTGTATGTAGGGAAGGGTAGAGGAGCTGGGCCAGCACAAAAAGTAATGACACTCCTAGAGGGGAGAAGACTATTATGGGCAAGGAGGGAGGGAGCTGTGCCACTTTCTTGAGGCACACTGCATGAAAATAATTGCTTATTAAAAGGAAAAACACTGTAAATAAAAACACTTGATTGTTCTGTGCATTTACCTGCATATTTAAGATGGTGACAGGATTTATTTAAAGAGTGACTCTAGGCAACAAGTAAGGCCAATCAAAGAATGATGGATTCTTTTCAGAAACCACTGCGCTGTGCTATCAGCCAGAAATTATTTTCATTATCTTGCTAGAGCAATAGAGACGTTGAAGACACAGGTATTGACACAAATATGCAGGCTGCAAATGCTTGTTACCTGGCTGCCCCGAGCTTTAATTTCTAGAGTCACTGACTTGAAAGAGCCATGCAGAGGGTACTACCAGTTTGTGGTTTTTTGTTCCTTTTCACAGTGCAAGTTCAAACTCACAAAAAAAAAAAAAATGCCCTCCATGTGTGGCTGATTTTGTCTCGTAAAGGATAAATTCACCTTTGATAACTTGTTACATGTTACACCCATATTCAGGGTGTAACATGTTATGAAATAACCGCCCCTGCCCAACACAATTTCAAGAGCTAACGGGGGATCTTCTCCCCCAACACTATCCCCCCACCCCCCGGTAGCTGTCAACTTCCTGTCAGTAACTATTGGCTTGCCCATACGAGATACGAGCATGCAGATACACTGACAGGTCTGCAGGAGACTTTAAGCTAAACACAGCAATAATAACTGAATAGCTAAAAGTTGACCACAACAGGTATATAATAAGGTACACAAGCAAAGGAATGTCCACACGACAGGTGATTCAGGGATTGTTTTATTAAAAATAAATCGATGGATATGTATATACAGCAACAATTTATAGAACCATGGTTTGCACATACAATAAAGCTGAACTTCAGTTAAAACAGTTAAATACAAACAGAAAGGACAAGGATTTGCTCTCAGACAGGGGCAGACTGACCATTTGGAAACTCGGGCACTGCCCGAGGGCCTGGGGTCAGTAGGGGGTCCCATGAGATGCCCCTGGTACCTTTTTCATAGGCTTTTTTGAGTTTGGGCAAGGACACAGGGGCCCCAAGATCCCCTATTGCCTGGGGGCTCCAGCATAAAAAAAACTGGGGGTTTATTTCCACCCTAAGGACTGTGAAGGTTGCTCTTAAAACTGACCCTGTGACATTTCCAATAGAGCTGACATCAGACATACAGGAGGAAACTTCAGGATCACCTCTGGTAGTTTAATGAGGCTGTCAACTTCATATAGGACATACTGTATCAGGGGCGGACTGACAACTCATGGGGTCCCCGGGCAATAGGGGATCATGGGGCCCCTGTGTCCTTGACCAAACTCAAAAAAGCCTATGAAAAAAGGTACCAGCGGCATCTCATGGGGCCCCCTACTGACCCCAGGTAGAGCCTGAGTTTCCAAATGGTCAGTCCGCCCCTGTACTGTATAGAGGTCCTATAATCTAATAGAGGTCCAATCTAAGGGAGAGTTCCCTTCACTGGAACTAAGGGGCCAAGCCCAACCCATGAAAAACAACCCCACACCATAATCCCCCCTCCACCAAACTTTACACTTGGCAAAATGCAATCAGGCAAGTACTGTTCTTCTGGCAACCGCCAAACTCAGACATGGCCATCGGATTGCCAGAGAAGAGAAGTGTGATTCGTCACTCCAGAGAACACGTCTCCGCTGCTCTGGAGTCTAGTGGCGGCGTACTTTACGCCACTGCATCCGATGCTCTGAATTGCACTTGGTGATATAAGGCTTGGATGCAGCTGCTCGGCCATGAAAAACAATTTCATGAACCTCTCTACTCACTGTTGTGCTAATCTGAATGCCACATGAAGTTTGGAGGTCTTTAGCCATTGACTCTGCAGACAGTTGGCGATTTCTGCGCACTGTGCATTTCAGCATGCACTGACCCTGCTCTTTGATTTTATGTGGCTTACCACTTCATGGCTGTGTTGCTGTTGTTCCCAGTTGCTTCCACTTTGTTATAAAACCACTAACAGTTGATCGTGGAATATTTAGTAACAAGAAAATGTCACGGATGGACTTATTACACAGGTGGCAACCTATCACGGTACCACGCTTGGATTCATTGAGCTCCTGACAGTGACCCGTTCTTTCACAAATGTTTGTAGAAGCAGTCTGCATGCCTAGGTGCTTGATTTTATACACCTGTGGCCATGGAGGCGATTGTAATACCTGAATCAAATGATTTGGAAGGGTGGCCCAATACTTTTGTCATTATAGTGTATATCTATGGGTTACATAATAACGAGTGTTATTTTGTGCAAGTACTCACCCCTGGCTCCGCAGCACTCCTCCTTCATATGGAGATATCTTGCTGAGCGTCTCTACTTCCCATAATTTTTTGGACTGCATTGATCTTACTTTACAAGATATACTAGAATATTATCACCTCAATTCTATCCTGAGGAAGCTATCATGTGAAACATGTAGAGATGTGACTTCACCCATAAGTAATGCATTCATTGTATATTCACTTGAGTTCCAGAAGATTTTACCCCCTTCATGACCAGACCATTTTTTGCAGTTCAACGCTGTGCTACTTTAACTGGCAATTGATTAGTCATGGAATGCTGTACGAAAAATACATTTATATAATTTATTTCACACAAATAGAGCTTTCTTTTGGTGGTATTTGATCACCACTGAGTTTTTTTTTTATTTTTTGCTATTCAAACAAAAAAAAAAGACCCAAAATTAAAAAAAGATTTTCTTCTTTCTGCTATAAAAACATATCCAATTAAATAAAAACTAATTTCTTTGTGAATTCAGGGCAAAATGTATTCTACAGGTCATTGGTAGAAAAAAATCATGATACGTATATATTTGATTGGCTTGTGTAAAAGTTTTTGCCTCTACAAACTATGGTATAGATACTGGATTTTTTTAAATTACTACATAGTTATTATACTAGTAATGGCAGCATTCAACAATTTATAACGGGAGTGCAGTGGGCAATCTGATACTGACACTGAGGGGAATTTATTAGTGTCACTGAGGATGTCATTGACAGCTAGTCAAGTGACTAGTGCTAAAAATATACACTGTCACTGTATTAATGACACTGGCTGAGAAGGGGTTAACATCAAGGGGTTAAATATGTGCCTAACAATGTGTAATGAGTTTACTGTGTTGTGTTTTTCTAAGCAATGTGCTGTTTTTTTACTCCCTGTTTTGCAGGAAAAAAATGGCACATCACTGCTGTATGAAGAGAGCTTTGTGTTGTTTAGCAACAAAGAGATTGCTTCTGCCATTCACTGATCTGATCAATGGGTCCTGGCCATAAATCATTGGCCGGGATACATTGATCGGCTTGTGCTGCAGCCAATGGCAGCACAGTCTTCCGGGTCAGTGAGCAGACCCTGAAGAAAGCCGTGATGTACAGGTACATGATTGTACCTGTACAAGCTGACCTGTCGCAGTAAATGTACTGTGGCGGGTCGGCAAGTGAATATTGTGTAATATGGATCTGCCAATACAGATTGTCATTTTTTTTCCTGTGAGAGTAAAGCGCTAGGTTATAGTCCCATAATTTCTTTTTGTTGGTTATTTCATTACATTTTGCTGGATGTAGTGCACAAATTATCCATCGCCATACTCACATAAATTAAAGAGGACAAATAATCTATCAGGACCAACCACCTCTATGCCACATCCAAAATTGTATAGATCAGGGGCGGACTGACCATTTGGAAACTCGGGCACTGCCCGGGGTCAGTAGGGGGCCCCATGAGATGCCCCTGGTACCTTTTTCATAGGCTTTTTTGAGTTTAGGCAAGGACACAGGGGCCCCATGATCCCCTATTGCCCGGGGGCCCATGAGTTGTCAGTCCGCCCCTGGTATAGATCCAACAAAAGGCAATGTTTAATCAGACTTTAATGTTAGAAATTAGATTATGTTTCACATTAAAAAATGTATGCACATCACTTTGTTACATCTTGTAAAATACAAATAGATCAGCATGATCCTAATATCGCATATATGCTATTCTTTAGCAAATTCTCCTCATAACTATCAGAATGTGCTTTAACAAAATGGTGGCAGTCTGCACACAGACACTGACTCAAATTTGTATTAATGTAATGAGATAGATAAAAGATGGTTTCAGCTCCTGTTCTCGACCTGTAGAGAACTCAGACGCGTTTCGCTCTTATCAGGGCTTAATCATAGAGGCCTTTACAATTAAGCCTAGAAAAAAGTGAAACGTCTCTCAGGAAGCTTTTGTGTGTCTCTTGTGCAAATCATAAGTAAATTTCAGGCCTAATAAGTGATATATACAATAGTCAAATATACTATGATGCATCTCCTTAAGTCAACACGTTTCTCAGGAAGATTCTTCAGGACCAGAGAATCCGGTGAGGAGATAATAATGATTGCTAAACATACAAAAAAAGTATCAAAATCAAATATACATATGTTGATAATTGCAACGTTGCAAAATGTTGACATGTCAGAGACGTAAAGTCAGATCTTTAATATTATTACACTGTTCCTCAATGCACATTTGTACATCTCCTGTGGTCAGTCTTACCAACAAAAGTGATATTTCACAAGGTAGATTACATTTACTTTACTGCAATTTATATGCATATTGTATTTTGACACCTTCAATTGGATGATAATGTTAGTACAGCTGTTATGCAGATGTTTTAGGTTTTAGCTTTAATATAGTGTTTCTATCCAGAGCCCTTTTCTTCAACTTTTTTTAGGCAGAGATGATCCCTTTTGCAGAATGGGCTTGGTTATTTCCTTTAGGCTTGTAAACTATTCATTTGTGATTGTAATGCAACATATTCCAACAGTTTGACTGTAAGAGTCCCAATTTCAAATAAAGTACACAAACCAATAATAGTGTCTTTTTAGGCCATAATTATAATAACCTCAAAAAAATATTTAGTATCCAAAATGCAAACTCATATGTAATGTAAAGGCGTACAGTGCATGTAATCGTTACACATATTTTTGACCACCTGTACTACCCTTTACGTAAACACTACATAGTTTCTGAGACTATCATGAATTCTTCCAAACTGTAGCAGTATTCACATTGGTGGCAATTCCTTCTGACACATTTCACAGATAACCAAAACTCTGCTTCCTCAGAGTCATATGGAGGACATATCTAGAGATAATATAGCAGTGGCATTAAAACATATATAGAAAACATTTACCATAAATCCAATGTGCTCAAAATGTAAACTTACATATGCTGTCATGTGTCAGTACCTACTTGGGAGACTGCAGGAGATAGATAAAAGAATCAAATAAATAGATCAGGTCTTTGAAATCTGTTGGCACAAGGTATACGGTCAGTGGTGTATTTAGGTTTTGTGCTGCCCTAGGCAACACAAAAAAATTGGCTTTCCCTATTGACCAACACCCCAGCCCCCCCTTCCACTACCACCACCCCCACCCAGGGGTGAACTGACCATTCGGATACTTGGGCACTGCCCGAGGGCCCGGGGTCAATAATGGGCCCCATGAGATGTCCCTGGTAACTTTCATATGCTTTTTTTGAGTGTGGGCGAAGACACAGGGGCCCCATGATCCCCTATTGCCCGGGGGGGCCCATGAGTTGTCAGTCCGCCCTTGCCCCCACCCCGACAAGATATAAGACACTCACCTTCACAGCTCTGGACATCCCTGGGAACAAGAGTCAGGCTCTGCATACACCACCAAGCAGCCCGCAGCCTCTCTCAGATCCCACCTGGTCCCCAAGCTGCATGTGTCCCTTCTTCCTTTCCTTCTTTCGGGGGATAGTTCTGCCCCCCTGAAAAATGCTGCTCCCCCCCTAAAAATGTCACCCTAGGCAAATGCCTTGTTTGCCTTGTGGTAAATACACCCCTGTATACAATATAACTATATCCTGGTATTGTGAACACCTATGCAGCCAGGTGCTGGCTATGTCATTATGCCATTCAGGGACATCTACTGTACAGATGAGACTATGATTAATCCTTTTCCCACTAGTGCCCATTACTGTGACTGCTACATAACATCCTGTTAGCAGAGTGGATCCAGTTCTTCTGACAGCAGAGGATCTTGGGATCTGCAATCCTATAGCC